ACAATAGTGATAGAAGAGGGCTGGTACACATTCTATGAGTCTCACCTCCGAGATTGAGACTTCCTCCTCCTTGTCCCCACAGCTGAGATTCACTGCAGCTCTTCCTTTCATCCGAGTCAAACCCCTCATCCTCCCACAAGTTCTTTTCAAACAAAGACCAGACCAGAGAGGCAGCCAGCAAAGCTCCTCTCCCTAAATTGCCATCAATTTACTCTTTGTTCTTACTTATCTGTTACACTTCCACAACTCTGAAAAACTTTTATCCTTTTCACAGTCATGTCTCTGTTCCTTTCCCTTCCCCACCCTACAATTATAGAGTGATAAACCACACTTATTCATTCCTCTATTTGGCCTGAAAGCAAATCAGTTTCTATTCACTTGAGGACCAGTTAAAAAAGATTGTGTGTGTGTGTGTGCGTGTGTGTGTGTGAGAGAGAGAGAGGAGGGGTGCATGAGTGTGTGTGTGTGTGTGTGTGTGTGTGTGTGTGTGTGTGTGTGTGTGTGTGTGTGTGTGTGTGTGATGAAATGGAATAGGACGTGTCAACAGCAGGTTTTTTGCTTGTGTGGTGCCACCTAATCTCACGCATGATTAGGAGAGCAATAACACGACTGTCTGAGCAGGTTACAAAAATGTGAGCTCTACTCTCCTCTCTGTGTATCTTTGCGTGTGTGTACGCTTTTATGTGTGTGACAGCCTAGAAAATGTTTATTGAACCCCTAACTGTCACATTAAAAGCAGACTCTTTCTTTATTTTATCCACAAATACTCCTTCAGTCTTAAGTGACCTTTTTGTTTGGTACCTGCTGCATTATACGTCTCCGGCCTCTCGGCCCCCTTGACCTTCATTCAACCTTCCTGATTGCTTCTTTCACTAACATATTTTCCTTTTTACCTCTTCTATCACCCATGGTCTCTCTTCAGTTTCTTTGTGTGCTCTAAGAAAGGTTGATTGCAGAGATATCCACTGGTAGGATCAGTAAACAAACAACACACACAGACACGCTCACTTGACAGATGCTAATGGTCTTCCTTCAACCTGCTTTTTCCCTAAATTGCAGCTCCCCATCTCCCCTCTGCTACTACTGCCTCTGTCTGACTGCATTTCATTCTTTCATTCACTCCCTGACTCTCCCCATGTCTGTGACTTCCCCATTGTGCTCCTTTTGACTGTAAAAGCTAAGATGTACTGTGGTGAAAAAGAAAAAGAAATGAGGGAGCAGTGAGCTTTTATAGTGAGCTCAAGCATCCACAGGCAGGCATGTGTGTTTGTGTATGTGTGTAAAAGGGAAGCGGTAGGGACTGCCTAAAAGCAAGATGACAACTCATTTCAAATTGTGGAGTATAGCGCCCCCCTGTGGTGGCTGTCTAGTTTAAATCATAGTCATACCTAAGATTTCTTTCAAACTTAAAGGACAGTTTTAGGAAGTTATGGAGTTTATTTAAACCTTCAGTACTCACACGCAATGATGGAAGAACTATTTAAAGTAAAAGTACTCATTCAGTACAATTGTCCCTGCCAGTGTTTTAGTATTATATGTGATGTTTTTGGATTAATATTGCTGTAGCATGAATGTGTATGTTTCATTTAAGTGCTTGTAGATGATGCCTGTTTATGGTTGAGCTCATTTCTGCTACTTTATAAACTATTGGGTAGTTTAATCTACAGCAGTGCATCATATTCTATAAAATCATCATGTGGTTGTAGTGTTGCTGTCATGTGAGAACCACTTACCTCTAAAAAGTCAACTTTTCAAGAGCTCAGACAAACAGCTCTGTTTTCTGCTTTGTGACAATGCATTTTTCAGTTAATCCAAATGAGGGGATTGGCTTCTTATTTAGCTTCAAAAGAAGGGTCATTTTCAGAAAAATTCAAGTTCAAAATCACCAAATTTGGTGCTTACTAACAAATCTTATGATCCTGTCTTCTAGAGTGGCCCTGTGCCAAAATATATATTTTAAAAGCTTTACTTTTCATTTCATATTGTGGGGATTGCACTGGTAGCTGTGCCTCAGTAGTGCCCGCAGGCGCGTTTGTCCCAACTGTAAACATATAATCTATCAGAACAACAGATTGTAGAAAGATTAAAGATTGAAGGAAGATTGAAGATTATAGAACGTCACTTCCATTGAAATAACTTTAGTGAGGAATCTCTTTGCAGCCAGTATGAGCAGCAGGAATGATAACAGCAACCAAAAATGGTTTCAGTGTACATGTGGGCATCCAAATAAATGTCTATCCTTTAAAAGCATAAAATACCCCAAAAACCTTTTTTTTTTTTAAGTTTCGAAAGTGTTCTCAACATTATACATTTTTCGGCTCAACAAAGAACAAAAGTAATTTGGAGAAATTGATTTCCTGAGACTGGTAGTGGATATGTGGAGTCGAGCAAGAGTGAATGCCTCATCTCTGACTCACTCACCAGAGCGCTACACTGATGTCTGATGGTGAAAAAGAGAAGAAAACCTTTTAGGGGATCATTTTTTAACCGAAAGGATTCAGGTTTGACCCAGCTTTTTGACATTTCCATTCACAGGTGTAACAGACCTTAAAACCACATTATGACTAATCATTTCTTCAAGCTGGGTAAAGTTGACTGAATATGTTTGCAGTTTTTCAGCAATACGTCTCAGATTGTGTGTGTAGTGGGAACCAGCAGTAAATCTGAAATGACACCTTAAAGGTCATTCAAAAATAAAGGCATCCCATAGATCAATTGTGATTCAAGTGCCCTCTGTTAAAGTTCAGCACACACACATGCTCCCTCCCACTCTCACTTCCACTCATCAACCACGTTTAATTAAATCTGTTTAATTTGCCTTGTCATTTATCACTTATGTAAGCATTTGTCACCATGTTGTCCTCTGTTGTAATCTATTTTTTCCATGTCACTTCTATCTTGGCTTGTCATCCTGATGTTTGTTTGTGTCCTCTTTCCTTATTTTTTTCTTTTGTTTGTTTCTGAAGTGCTTTTATAGGATGGTTTTGATCTCGGTTGCAGATGTTTGCAATTATTTTCTCCTCTGCTCGTCTGCATCTTAAAAAATATATTATAATAATAACCTAGAGTGAGCGTATATAGCATTTCTACATCTAAGAAACTCTTCAAAGACATACAAAATGCAGCTCGTTGCCAGACTATTATATGAGATTAACAGATAATATAGATGTCTGTTGTGTGTTTAAAAGCCTTCAATCTGAAAGGCTAGAAAATACTTTGTATTACATATATTTGTAAAACACTGTCAAAAAAAGATATAATTCTACAGTTTTACACCCCTGGAGAGAACAGACATAAAAGCTGAAGCCTTTTCCTGCTTGTCTTCATTAAAAAAAACCTGTCCGTACTTTTTGAAATGTCATCTTTGCATTTCAATACCTCACCTCTGCTTTCACAGTGAAGACATTTTCTTGTGAAAAGGACTTTTTAATATTCATCATAGAATACCAACAGTAGATAATGATTGCAGGAACTGTTCTGTCTTTTGGTGGCAGGTGTATCACCATTCGCCAGTCTGACTTAAGAGACACCTCACATAAATGTCGCACATCTGACCATGATCCACTGTAAGAGCCACAAATCCTACTTTCAAGCTACATTATATATTGTGACAGGCTGCAATGGATTTTGTCCAGCATCCGTTTCTTGTATCCTCGCCTTCATCTCGCTTTTGATCGCTCCAGGCCCCTCTGACCCTGAAGGATATAAGAACCATAAATTAATGATTATGGGTTATTTTTGGCACAAAGCATACGGATGAATGTGAGACTGCCTCAAGACATGTATTAAGACAAATACAAATAGTCTGCTTTGAACAATAATGTGTGTTTGATACGTTTTTTCCTGCAAAAAAAAGTATAATTTCAACATCAAAATCTGAAGCTGTGAAGATGTGGCTGGACAAAATCTACTCCTACCTCATTAAAAAGTCCACAATATATAAATATGCAAATGTTGTTAATTTCTAAAGTGCCTCCTTCTTCACTGTAAAGTCCATTCTCAGTGTATATGCACTGGTGGCTTCAGGTTTCCACAACACACATATGTAAGTTGCATACTGCCCAACTATTTGTGTAAATATATTTTTAAAGAGCACAAAGAAAGTTTCCACTTTCAGCAGATGAATGTGAAAACATCCTTCTAGTCAAACTCTGCACATACGTCATTCTGCACAGTGAAGCTCAAACATCCAACTGCAGGAACACATTTTTGAGTGGAGGCAGACTTTAAGTTAAGCCTTTTTATGCTATTGTGACCAAAAATTAATGATGTTGTTTTGTTTCCTTTATTCGATTTAGCTATTAAAGCATGATATAGGCCTAATACAGTGAGACAGATAGCAGGTAGTAGATAAGGAAATGGCAAATTATATCACTTCTTTTAAGTCTCTTCTCAAAACACACTTTTATAGTCTTTCCTTCCTGTGACCCTTTTTAAAAACCAATACAAATTGTTACTGATGCTGCTGTGGTTCCTCGTTTTCTGTTGCTTGTGTTGTTTTTACCCTGCAAAAGCACTTTGTAAAAACCGTGAAAGGTGCAATATAAATAAAGTTTATTATCATATAGTCCTAAAATACGATTTATTTTCCCTGTGAGCTTAGTTAAACTGGTAGGTTTATTAAATTTCAACCAAAATATCAAGAAGAAATTATGCCTCACAATCAGTGATATAATAATAAATAACCTGATATATTTAATAATAATAATTTTTTTTATAAATCTAATTCTCATTAAAAAAAAAAAAACTCTAAATACTGTATATAACTCGCTTTTACAAAAAATAAATAAATAAATAAATAAATAACGCGCAGCTTTGCGTCGCTCGCAGCGGCCCCCGGAAGTGTTTGTAAAACGGTTAAAAGCCAGTTGACGTAGGCTAGCTAACGTTAGCTGTCAGCCGGGTTCAGTCATTGTGTGCAGGGATGGAGGTGACACGCCGAAGTAAGTAGCCAGCCAGATTGTGCTTACTGGATTTTTTAGCTCGCTGCACACATCGTGACAATACACAACAGAGATGTGAGCTGAGATTTATATTTAAAAAGCTCAAGACTCTTCAATTGTTCAGTGTTTTTTTTTGCTGCTAACGTTAGCTAGTGAGCTAAGCTAAGGTATGCGGCTGCGGGTTTTTTTTTTTTTTTTTTTTTTTTTTAAGCTCTGTGTTCCTCTTCTTGTTCTGCTCGCTCTCCTCATGTCACTGCACTTTCTCCCACCAGATTATAAAGACAGTTTAAACACGGTGTACAGTGCGATAGAGGAGGCTGACTTTCTTGCCATCGATGGAGAATTTTCAGGTAACCGTGTGAAGAGTTTCCCAGCAGAAATGTTGAGGTGTAAATTGTTTACTGTGTGCATGTAAATTGGGTTTTTATTGTTGTTGTTTTTTAAGGGATAAGCGACGGTCCTAATGTCAGTGCACTCACCAACGGGCTGGACACACCGGAGGAGCGATACACGAAGCTGAAAAAGGTTTGAAAACCTCAATGAGTTGGTGCACGCCTCCTGGTTTCCCTCCATGCTCCATGTGTATCTCATTTAAAGTCTCTTTTTTTTTATTATTATTATTTCTATCCACCAGCACTCCATGGACTTTCTGCTGTTCCAGTTCGGATTATGCACATTCAAGTACGACCAGACAAAGTCAAAGTGAGTGTCTGCTTAACAAATTCATACTTGCTTTTTTATTTTTTAAGATGTGAGAGTATTATCTCTTAGAGGACTCCCAAACACGGTCACCTGCTCAGATTTATATGCCTCATTCATTGCATCATTAAAAAAGAAAAACATTTGAGGTCAAATTAGTTTATTTTCAGGTGCAGATAAAAAGCCAATTTGCATTATTTCCCTAATTTCTAGTATCGTGATATCTTGCCTATCCTCACGTGACTTGAAAAAGCTCTCCTGTATAGATTTCCTGATTTTTATTTTGAGTGAGGGAACAAGGTCGACTTTCCCATTGTGTCCCCCACCAGAAACAGTTAAAACAGGATGTGTGGAAATGTGTGTGGATTCCAAAATGCAGAACAGGGAGACGTGTGGGTGGGCGACTGCTCCAGGCCCCCCAAAAACCCTGTGGGCCGACTAGTTTGTAGTAATTTAATTTCAAATGTATTTTTGGAATTAGGTGGGCCTTCTGTTCAGATTTGGGTTCTTGTGATGAATATTTCTAAATGATGTGTTTTAATCCTATTACTACTACACAACCAATTAGGCCTAAATTGTATTCTAGCATTAAAAAACAGTGGGGTTGAAAAATCTGTTTCTGTTTCAATTTACACTTTCCCTACGTAGTATTCAACTCCTTTCCATGATAAGGGATCAATATGGAAAACATATTAGATATTATGATAAACTCCCAGCAGTTGGAATGATTTCACTGATTCTCGTTCTGTTTCCTGTGTTCCCATCTCCGCAGGTATATCATAAAGCCTTTTAATTTTTATGTATTCCCAAAACCGTTCAACAGGACGTCCCCTGACATAAAGTTCATCTGTCAAGTAAGTCAGTTTTGCTCCTCAGGGTCATTCAATCGCTTCCGTATGAACTGAAATAAATTGAGTTTTTAATAGCGACGATGGTTTTTAAAAAGATTCTGAAAATGTCTGGTCAGGTGGAAAAAGATGTCTGTCGGCTTTTTGTTTGAAGGTTATGAAAATGGAAGATCATGTTTTGTCATTTCAGAGTTCCAGTATTGACTTCTTGGCCAGTCAGGGATTTGACTTCAACAAGGTGTTTTGTAATGGTGAGTCACCTCAGAATGATGGTGAATGCAATTTTGTCTCATGATATGTAATGCTTGTTATCAAACCTCATCTAACTGCTGATTCTAGTTTAAATCAACACATATCAAACTTTTAATTTATGAACATTTGGTCAATTCTTTGGTCAGTTATCTCTTCAAACTCTTAATTCCACACTGTAGTAAATTTAAGAAGTTCTTAAATGTGTTTTTGTTAAGACATTAAACAGTAAAACATTTACCAATTGTGCTAAATAAACAGGTTTTTTTTTGTGGGGGAAAAGGTATAATTTTCATTTTCAGTACAGAAACATTCATAAACAGACATTAACCGGCCTCCGTGTTGGGTTAGGAAAGCTGTCACAGTGGAACAGCTGGCTCCGGGCCACTTGCTCTTCATTCATACTTGTGATAGTGGTCCTTTTTGTTAGCCTGGTTCCAGAGCTCTGGATGGCTGCCCACGTCTGACATATGCATATATACTTTAAGGGAAAAGGGTAAATTCAGTCTTATTATTGGCCAGTTGACTTTTACAGGCAGTAAGTCTTTATTTTCAGCACTGCTGCCTGCATGGTCACTGTTGGTACAGGGTTATGCTGTTGCTTACATTCACCCCTCCAGAAATGTAACCACACATAAAAGCTATGCAGACTTGGCTGCACCCACAAGAGCTGTAGTTGTTGAGGTTCACTTGTATTTTCTTCCTCTTCGCAATGCTGGTAATGTTATTTGTAACAACGAATGCTTAGAGCCACTTTAGAACTACAGAGATAAATTTGAGCTGGTTTTTCAAAGGAATCCCGTACCTAAATCAAGAAGAGGAAGCCCAGCTGAGGGAGCAGACAGAGGAGAGGAGAAATCAACATGCTAATGGTGTAGGGACCCCGTCTTACATCTCACCATCCTCCAAAGGCCCTGCACACGTACCTGAGGAACATAAAGACTTCATCAACAGGGTTATGTAAGTGTTAATGTGTGTGTGACACTGAAAGCATTAATGTGACTCGTCCTGACAGGGTTGTTTTATGAGGATTGAGACACTGTGCATGGTGGTAGCAACTTGGTTATTTCCTATTTGAGCCCGGTGAGAGTGAAGTGATCATCTTTCCTTGGGGGTATATTGCCCCAGAACTCACTCTGAGAAGTGCACAGTCCCTCCCATGTGTCTCAGAGCCCTCTGTGAACACCCTGTTATTCCAAAGCCAACTAAGGGCAATAACTCAACTCCTTTCATGATTATGTTCGTGTCTGCCTCTTTTTTTTGTGTTTTAATCATTTCTGCTTATCCCTACAGAGAGAAGGTTGAGGCCCTCTTCACTAACTCCGAGAAGACTTTGGACTTGGAGCCATGTACCGGGTAATCTAGCCCTTCTCTCAAAATGCCACACCTACACTGGATTTGTATTTTTTGTATTTTTTTTAATATATATATTTTTCCCCCATCTCTACTTGTATGTATATTTCCTTACCAGGTTTCAGAGAAAGCTGATATACCAGACGCTGAACTGGAAGTGAGTGTCACACTCTATTTTGCTACTATTGTTGTTTTTTCGTGTGGGTTTGTAGAAGTTTAAGATTTGTCGTGCTTTAACAGATTTCCCAAGGGGCTTCACGTGGAAACCATTGAAACAGAAAAGGTAAGAACAAGCGTTATTTCAGCCAATTTTGCCTTTTGTTTTTGTGTGGAATATATAAAATATTTATGCAAGTTCTGTATGGGTGTAGAAGGAGCGATACATCCAGGTCAGCAAAGTAGATGACGAGGAGAGGAAGAGGAGGGAACAGCAGAAACTGGAGAGAGAGCAGGTGAGTTTGGGTTTAAAATGTATATTAAATTGTATATTGACTATAATTATGGAGGAGTGTATTGAAATGTAGGAAAACATAAATTTGTCCTTGCTTTTGAGGAGCTTAAAGCACTAGTTTTTAATCGCATCTAATATTTTTGCCCCAACAGGAGGAGCTAAATGATGCTGTTGGTTTCTCCAGGGTAATCCATGCCATCTCTAAATCTGTGAGTCCATTAATACTCTAATTTCAAGTTCATCTGTTTGTTTTTAAATATTTTTTGCCTGTACCTCTAACTCAATTCATCTGACACACAGGGTAAACTTGTGGTTGGCCACAACATGCTGTTGGATGTGATGCACACCATCCACCAGTTTTACTGCCCTCTGCCAGAGGTACTTAAACTCAAGATGAATATTTTAAATACAGAACCTTTTTGGCTGCATTAAATAGCAGTTTATATCTAAGTAATGATATTTATGAATTATTTGTGCCAATACTTTTTTTTTTTTTTTTTTTTTTTTGCAGGATCTTCAAGACTTTAAAGAGGTCACAATGTGTGTTTTCCCGAGGTAATAATTCCTTTCCTTGCTAAAGTTGTTTAATTGCCTTCACAATGGATCTTTTAAGATCATTTCTGTGGGTTTGAAAAATAAATTATTGGTTTCCTATCCATTTGCAGACTTTTGGACACAAAGTTGATGGCTTCCACTCAGCCTTTTAAGGTAAATGATCTTCAGTGCTAGAATACCAGAGGTAGTTTATGATAGGAGGTATTTTATCATGGTTAAAATACATCATTAGTTTGTCTTTCCAGGTCGAAACTGGTAAGTCATTGATTCTCTGGCCACAGTTGTGCAACTCAAGTGAACTAGTAGTTTAAAAAATAAAAAAAAGGGCTAAAACCGAAATGTAAAATAATTCTCTGTAGCAGATCTTTCACCAACATGTATATAAACAGATGGGTGTTGGTTTGTTTTTTTTTTTTTTTTTTTTAATGTTTCAGGAGATGATTACTAACACCTCTCTGGCAGAATTGGAGAAACAGCTAAAGGAGGGCCCCTTCAAGTCACCACAAGTTGGTGAGTAAATGCACTAACATTTGCCTGAACCGCTCTAAACCTGCAAAATCCTGCCGACACTGTTTTCTCCTTTTGTGCCGTTCCTGTCAGAAACGGCAGAGGGGTTCCACAGTTACGACACAGCCCAGGAACAGCTCCACGAGGCCGGCTACGACGCCTACATCACTGGCCTCTGTTTCGTCTCCATGGCCAACTACCTTGGTAACACACATAATCACACTTACTCTGTTTGCAAATTAGGAAAAATTCTAAATACGTTTTGTTTAACTTTAACTTAAACGCTGTCTTTACAGGCTCTTTCTTGACTCCACCCAAAGCGTACATCTCTGCCCGCTCCAAGCTAGTCGAGCCTTTCTTCAACAAGTAAGAGATGCACTTAAATTTACTGTATTTGCTTCTCTTTGATTAATTGCTAGAAATCTTCAAACATTCATATCGTACTTCTCTCCTCTGTTGTCCAGGCTTTTCCTGATGAGGATAATAGATATCCCCTACCTCAACATCACAGGACCAGATTGTGAGTAAGATGAGCAGCAGGGATAATGTCAGGATTGTTGCATTGACTATATGCTTGGTAATATTGCCACATTTAAAGGCCGTGTTTTTTTTTTTTTTTTTTTTTATAAACCATCAGCACTTTTTCTTTAGTAGTAGGTCCCTGTTTATGTTTGCGTTGTGCACACATGATATACATTCCTTCTACCACAGTTGGTGGCGGTAACTCACACATTGCAGGGAACTCATGTAATGCATGGCACACACAATGAACGCTTAACTTGGTTGGTTTAAATTTTTTATTTTATTTTTTTTTTTAAAGCTGTAGTTGGTGAGTTTGGACCACTAGGGGCTGAAAAATGCCAAAACAAAGTCACAGTCCTGATATTATATCAACTTAGCTCTGTATCTTAACATGCCAGGTACTTTAAGTTCTCAAACTGCCACTTGTTAACTTCATCTTTAGCTTTTCTTTTTGATTCTGTGTTGAATGTGAAATATTCATTAATTAACCTTTTGTAAATTAAAGCTTCTGTTGCCACTTCTCCACCTGACCTGTTGCTCTTTTTCCCGCTTATCCCTTCTGTTCATACAGTGCAACCTAAAAGAGACCATGTCCTGTATGTCACCTTCCCAAAAGAATGGAAGACTAGTGACCTCTACCAGCTGTTTAGTGCCTTTGGTAAGACATTATCTTGCCTGATAAGTCTGCTTTCACTCTGATATGACCTGTTATATCACTCTTTCCCCACTTCTATTATCCACTCAGGAAACATCCAGGTTTCATGGATAGACGACACATCAGCATTTGTGTCTCTAAGTCAAACAGACCAGGTGCAAATAGGTGAGTTTGACACAGCAGCTGAATACACGCACCAGACTGGGCTCTATCATCTGCACAGAAAACGTAGATTTAATGTCTTCCACTCCTCACGCAGCTATGAACACCAGCCGCTATGCAGAGAGTTACAGGATCCAGACATATGCAGAGTACATCCAGGGTAAGCAGCAGGACAAGGAGAAGCTCGGCCAGACAGCCAAAACCTGGGGAGATGATGGCTGGGTCAAATCTCACTACACCTCTTCCACTACTTCTGGAAGTTTTGGATATCCCAGGTATAATTGTACTAATATGCACTGCGCTTTCAACATACTGTAGGTATGCACACTTTCTATTTATATTGATGGTATGTTTGGCCTATTTTTGTTCCAGGGGTTTGAGGAAACGCAGCATCAGTCCCGTTCAGGGAGAGCAGGGGACTGGAGAGGCTCCAATTACAGATGGTTGGAGTCACTACTCCTATCCGGATAGCACCGGCAGCAAGAAGATGAAAACTGATGGTGTGTAAACGCATGCGTGCATTAGTATTTTCTTGCTGCAGTGTGGTAACATGCAGCAGGTTTTCCTTGGAAAAGTACTCTATTAGAGATTCAGTGTGCCCTGAGGAAGAGAGCAGGTGGTATTGTGAATAATCATCACAACCAATTCACTAAATCCAGGGAGGCTGGGTAATTTGTTTAACATCAGATTTGATATTTTATTAATGCCCACCAGCTGGAATGGACAGATCGGATGCATTCCTGATTGACAACATCGTCTTCATACACTTTTCCATTTCAGTGAAAGAAGCTTGGATTAATTTGTAGCTCTCTATGTCTTAGTTTTGAGTCTTAAATCACACTTGTCTTCCAGTTGTGCTTTTTGTTGTCTGAAGAAATCTGTCGGTTTTCCATCATTATCCTTCATCAATTACCAGCTATTGGTCCTGTGTTTGAAGCATTTTATTTATTTTTTTTGCCTATGTCACTTTTAAGCTCTCTCTCTGGTTGTCATTGTGTTTCCTAGACATAAGTGGACAGGCAAATGCAGAAGCTGTCGAGAGCAAGACCTCAGAAGGATGGTTAAAGACAGCGTAAGTAAAATGGTAGTGATCATTTAAACTGTCAGTTCTCCTGTTTGCTGTGATATAAGTATCTTAATGGTTGCTGTGCTCTGCAGAGATTCATCAGATTCTGCAGGGTTAAGTCCGATCCCTGATGAGGAGGAGGAAGAGGAGGAAAGTTCTGAGGGCACAAATCCAGCTAATGATGCTGAGGGAACAGTCACCTGGCAACAAGCCACGAGGAAAGGTCAAAAGAACAAGAAAAAGAAGTCTAAAGGTGTGTTTGTCAGCTTATTAACCCTTTTAAATCTGCCTGAGACAGTTCAAACGGTTACTTGGTGCTCCTTTTTATAACTTCAGAGGTCTTCTTCAGTATCAAAAGTAATCCTGGGATTTATCTGTACAAACATGTTTAAACATTATAGTGCAAACAGGGACCGCTAGTAGTTAATGCAGCATTACTTGCCATAATGCAGATATAATAAACAGGACTAAGACGAAGCTTACAGCTACCTCACTTCCTGTTTGCATCATCCAAAGTATGAAGGGAACTTGGTGTCATCAAGAACATGTTTATCCAAACAGAAATAAGATAAATAAATCAATAGGAGGGATTAAACATAGTGAACATAGTGAAGCTTTTAGCTGCTACACAGCCAGATATTTCCCTCAGGAAGTGGTAGAGACCAAAAACCGAGCTAGACTAGCAGACTTAAATTCACCAGGTGGCCATGTTCATGTTGCTCCATAACATGTTCACCAAATCAACTTAAAAGCTTATGATATGTCAGTGTTAGATAAGGTAGATTTCTTATTTTGTTTTAAACCATCAATACATTTTGTCCCATCAACGTGGTTCATATATTGAAGCAGCGTTGACACTCCTGTCTATACATTCCTACACACTACAGATACTTAATGTGTTGACAGTGAGCGGTTTGATAGTTTAACAGTTCACAAATCTTTTTTTATTTTTTGCTGTCCTAGAATATGTATACACGTATCTGGTGATCGTTTTACTGCAGTGGCGAGTCGTAGTGACTGACAGCTGCATGAGTAGTTAGATTAATGATCTTAGTCAGTGGCCCCCAGTTAATGAACCGTATATGGATGCAGAGCTTAGTGGTGTTCAAATTTGATATATATGAGTTGGACATTTGTTACAACAATGGCCAGAAATGAGGAATAGAGAAATGGACCACTTTACTATCTGCCACATCTCAAGTGATATACTATGTAATACTACTGTGCTTGCTAGCTAGTATAATCACTGAAGAGTTGCATTTAATCATCACAGACCAGTTATCTTAGTAAAAAATGTATAAACCTGCCAGACAGCAGCAGCACTCTGAAGTAAAGGCTTGTTTCACATTCAGTTTTTTGAAGTTTTTCCACTACTGTTGGAGCAGTTGTTAACTGCACGTCTTTCCTCTTTCTAAGTAACATTACACAGAAAGGAAAGAATTGTACTTTTTTATTTATTAAGCTGTTTAAATTTGCTATAGAAATAAGCTTGACTTAAAATGATGGCATTTCTGAGAGAGTAGTCTAACTTATGGTGACAAATAAGTGTTATCTGACATGTAATTGCGCCAAAAGAAAGGGAATGAAACTGAGGACAAAACAAACGGTTAAATGTACCAGTTGGCAAGATTTCTGTATAAGTCTCAAGGTTCTGTACGTGTCGTTCCTTTTCTCATCGGTCTTCGTCTGTCCCTCTTGTGCAGATTCTGGATCTAAAACGTCCCTGTTTGAGGTCCCAGAGGTCTGGTAGCGAGAGGTGAGGAGTGGAGAGGCCACTGTCCCACACTGAGCGGAGTCTCTTCGTAAGCACTTCGGGCGCTCTCCAGTAAAGTTGTATCACTGGGAGTGGTGCACGCCCTAAATTCATTCGTTCACTCAACAGCTGTGGATACCGTGTCCAGAGCTACCAGCCAAGCCACTTGACTGGACTATTGAAAGAGAGGAAGGACACAAGCCATAACAACAGCTGCCATATTTTGATCTTGTACCAGAGGAGCAGGCAACTCTTCCGGGTAAACACGCACACACACTAGAATCTTAAAATCTAAACTCCAGAAATATTATTTTATTCTCATGTGTTCAGACTGGAATCTGCTATCACAGCCATGCTATCACTTTGAAATCATTCATCAGTTTTAATGACGGTCACCTCCAATCAGTCTTATATTTTGAGTGTGGGTTATGTGTGTGGGTTTGTGCATGTGAGGGAGATGTACATTTTCTCCAGTCTTTGTATCCCTGTGACTTCGTTTCATAATTTGTGAGATAAAATGCCACTTGACAGGACCTGTAGTTTACAATGTCTGGGTTATTTAGTATTTTAATGCAGTCAAATATATTTTGCCATTTTAAGAAAAAGGAAAAAAAGAAATCATTCTGTCAACTTCCCCAGTTTTATCAAACATATATAAGCTTATCAATGATAATGTGATGTTTATTATTGGTGACATTTCGATCCTTCATGAGAGGTGCTTGTTTTTTGTACAGAGTTGTTTTTCTTTACCTTTTTTGTGTTTAATGTTTTGTAACTGTGTCAACCTGCAACAATGTCAAAAGTGTGTTTAAAATGCAAAAGGTGTAAACGTTAAGATGACGTATACATTTTTGTATAAGATCTGTTTAAAAAATCCTTAAATATTTCCTTGGAAAGGGAAACAATTAAAGAATGTTTCTTAGTATCTCTGTTTTTCCGTCTTTTCTGTTCTCAAACTTGCCCCAGTTGACTTTAGGGACATTCTTCACATTGTAGTCATCGCACTGTACATGTCACATGTAAATCGCATGTGTCTCAACATTTAAATACTTTTACTTTCATGTTCTTATTTACAGATCTTGTGAAGTTTCTGGTAAAATGATAATCTAATGTGGTTAATGGAGCTCAAACACATTTGTGTCCCACTGTTTTTAAAAAAAAAAAAAAAAGTTGACGGCACATTTTGATTTTTAATAAGTGAGCAGGGCTCACTGGAAAGCAGTGTGATAAGATCCTTCTGAAATAGGGATGACTGCCATATTTTAAACAGTAATTATTGACACACTTATATTTAAATATTGAGCTATAAATGAATTCAAATTAAATAATTAACTACCATCTCCATCCCTGCTTGAAATGTCACTACAGAACAGCTCTGATTGGTCGGCCACAAACCAACAAAAATCCCAAAAGCATTTTAATAACTGTTACATTGTTCTTAAGATTTACATTTCAGAGGACATTGGGACATGTCACAGTAGGAGAAGCACAAGTGTAAAGAATAAAATTTAATGATGGATGAATTCCAATTAGCTGCTTCAGTTGTAGGATCCTGGCACTGCATACTGGCTCACTGGGACACTTAAATAACAGAGCTATCATTAATGCAACACCTGTGCTTTTCCTACTATGACTAATCAAAATGTGAGGCCCTTTTTTTTTAAATTAGTTTTTTAATGAAAGTCAATGACGAGACAAAGTTTGACAAAACAATTTTAATTTACAGTATCAAAAGTTAAAATCGTCTGTTTAAACTGATTTTAACATTATACATTCACTCAGCATGATGTTTGATATGGTCTATCAGGGTTCAGTCACCTTGTGAAGCTCTTATTTTCTTCCAGGAGAACAAATTGTATCTCCAAATACTTTCAAACTACACTTCAATATGTGTTACACAGAGTGACGACCATGATTGCAGAGACAAACCAACAACAATCATGCATTTTAGTGAGATGCACAGTCAGATGTTTTTGTAGCTTAGATTATTTCCAGGCCACAAACATAATTTTACAAGTATTGGATTTGGCTTAATCTTTTATATACACATTTGTGACACAGTCAAGTGTATCGTGCACACATAAAACTTTGAAAAAAATAAACAAGTCTGAGGCACTTTTTAATTATTTGATTTATGTTTTCATCTTCATTGATGTCACTTGGTTGAAGCACTAGCGCAGGCATCCCTGGACATGGAGATATGTTGATATTGCAGGTTTATAATCCTTCCCATAGAGGACCGGATCACTGTTCTCCTCAAGAACCTTCCTTGACCTCCATAAGGCACAAACCAGGAATGTGGCTATGAGCACTAGGGAAGAGAAGACAAGGTTTAGAAATATGTAACTTGGTAGCAGATTTTTCCCAGACACGGTCACAGAGTCCTCACCTGGTGTGTCCGAGCAGAACAACCACTGACAAGGTGCCGCCAGGGAGAGATCTGAAGAGCTTCCGCAGGCGACAGTCCAACTTCCTCATCACGACATCCATTTCCTGGTCCTACACACATTACATATTGTCTTCATTACATGTGTTTAATAAATAAACTGTACCGGTCTGTAAAATCGAATCACAAATGGTACTAATAACTCATGCACTTCATGGCTTTCTCACAATGTGCTTGAGTTCCATCATAACTTTGCTATGTGTGTATGCAGTTAGCAGGACAAAGTTGACATCAAGGAAGAAAAATTAGCCCCACGAAGCCAGACTAAATCTCAAAAGCTCCGTTTTCACTATGAGATTTTAGTCTGGAGAAAATATTGTGAGAGTTGACCGAGACTGCCAGCTGAGAAAACAATCTGGACTGTAAAGCTCCCAAACAGCTGTCGTTCTTGGGTTTTCACATGCAACTGCTTAAAGAACAGAGAGAAAAGCTACCAAGTGTACAAGACTATAATAACAGGTACACTAGTAGCCCCATGTGGCTGTTACGCTCACACTAAAAAGAACATTTCTGGATGGATGAAAAATGGAGAGAATTATTCTTCAGATCAGGGGATGGCCGTTATATAAATTATACTCAGCTCTACAGAGTCGGACTTTACTCAACTTTCATCAGGCTGTACTTTAAACTTAAAGCTAGTTAAGTGTTTCGGCATTCTGCAGAAAAAGACAGAAAAGCAGGGAACGACATCGTCATTTTCCCCTGCTATAGTCATATAAAAGTGCTGTGGCTTAAGGATGGGGTGACAACCAACTGGAGTCACTACAACCAGGGGCCAGATGTATACATGTTATGTACACCCAAAAACCACACATACGTATTTTAATGCGATCACTGATTATTTTTCTGATGTTTAATAATGATGATTAACATATTACTGCGACATGTGAGTGGTACGGGCGCTACAAACAACCGCAGCTGCATGTAATGGCAGCTGTTGTGTTGGAAAACCTCGCTGATGCAACACAGTCCGTTATCGATGTGCAAATGAATGATTCCGTGCACGTGTGTCCCTCTTTGTATTTGTGCACACACACTGTTTTTGTCTTCATTTACCTGAGAACTGGTGTGCGCGCAGGTCCTCTCCTCATCCTCTGCTGCTTCCCTATCAGGATCCACAGTGGTGATTGGCGTTGTCATGGCAACCCATGAAGGTAAGTGGGGTGGAGTTACGGATGGACAGACGAGGTAGTTTTCCTTCCAGAGGTCCTCAGTGGAGCTGAGGGCTACGTGTCTGTGCTCCGATCTCTCAAACTCTGTCAACACAGAAACTTTGTAAGAACTCCCACACAAACAGGACAACAAGAGACAATCAACAATACAGCCTTTAACTCACTTATGTGTGCATGTCTTGCACGTTTTCTAGGTTTGGCAGGCAGGAGAATTCTCTCCACCGCGCCAAAGCGAGCAAATGTCTCTCTGACTGTCTCCTCAGACAGTTTAGACTTTGAAGTGGTGGGTTGCAAACAGGTGCCATTTACTTTTAATCTGTGCACTGTTGGACTTTTTGAATCCAATGTGTGTCCGTTGACCTTTGCAGGAATTGGTATGCACTCAGCCATACTGGGGTTTAATTTAACAGCGTAGAGGTGACTGCTGTTGAGACTGTCACCCATCAAAGCATCAAGAGTCAAATCCAAGTCCAGCATCGACTCATTGACGGGCCTCTGGACCTTGAAAAGGCACACACAAGCAAACATGTTGGAGATACAGCGGTCTACAAAAGTTTCCACTTAACTTTAACAGAAAGAAAAAGAAAAAGAAAAAGGAGAAGAGAGTTACCTTGATGGACTGTCCCTGCATATAAAGTCCATTTAGAGTTTTTAAAGCCAGCATAGCTCCCTCTAGCAGCTCAAACTCTACCTCTGCATGAATCTGGGGAACAAACAGAAAATATTATCTAATAAGATCAATAAAGCACATCCAAAAAAAGACCCACACATTTCAGTTTTAGCAGTAATTATGACCATATCTTCAGAGGTATTCAGCTGTCGATGTGTTAATCAGTGACATTAAAATAAAGTATCATAATGTGGGTGAGATATACCCTGACAGTGGAGTTCAACATTTTGATTTTCCGAACCGGTCCACAGCAACGAAACAGCCGCCTCACTTCCCTCTCAGAGAAACCTGCAGGAAACGGCCCGGCAAACACTACACACATATCTCGAAGGTTTGTACACACCTGCAGAACAAACACACACATTAAGCAGTACGTTAAAATCACGCCAAGACACTTTAAATTGATCGTGTTTTGAAGAGATGCCTCACCCTCTGGTACAGCTGCTCCTGGTGGGGGAGGCACCTTTTCAGATGGTCTGAGAAGGAAGAAAATTGGAGCACTGTCAGGAACGGACAGTTGGTCCGTCTCCTGAAAGAGGCCAACACCTGACGGAGATCGGATAAAGAAACATAGGGAGAGGAAAAGAAAAGGAAAAAGTAAATATACAACAAGCAGAAATATATATATTGTCCTCTAATATAATCAATAATAATCTCATGAAGAAAAAGAGCAACTTCATTCATCTTTCCTCTCTCCGTCAGTCCACTGTTCATTGTCAAATTAGGCATAAATGCCACTAAAGATTTTTCATCAAAACCAGATACCTGAAGATATTCACAACTGAATGGAGACAGGAATTTTAATATCTAACAAACAGGGGACCCTTTATGAGGACTTGCTATATATGCACCACAACAGATCAATACCTACTTTGTGGTTAAGTGTTTGATCAGGTAAAGGTCAGGAGGCATCAGACAAGAGTCTCACCTCTTTGTCACAGCCGTGCCACTGCTGATTGGACAGATCCAGTGCGATGTCAGAACGCTTTCCTAAAAAGGCTACAGACCGGCCAAGTGTTTGTAGTATGTCACCAAACCTGCACAAGAAATAAAGACGGATGATTGGTTAAATGTGATGAGAGAAAAAGGATTTTAATGCATTTATTAACAATAGAAGCAGTGATGGAAGAAGCACTCAGATCCTTTACGTAAAGCAGCAACAAGAAACTTTCATTTTTTGATGATTGTGGTGGCCTCTGTATGCTTATAGGTCATATAGAGGCCTACATACTTGTCATAGGTTTAAGTACAGTACCACACTGTGAAAACACTCAACTACATAAAAGTCCTGCATTAGAAACCCTACTAAAAGTAAAATAATTTAAGTATTATCATCAAAATTTACTACAATACAAAGAGTTGTACAGATTGTATAACATATTGTACCTGTGACTTGGTGTGGGTGCAGGTGCACAGTCAGTGGACTCCTCCTCCTCTATTGTATATCCCCACAGCTCCTCCAAATGGAGTTCTACAACCTGACAGTGAGAATAAACAGAAAATCTTCTATAAACTGTGTGTGTGTGTGTGTGTGTGTGTGTGTGTGTGTGTGTGTGTGTGTGTGTGTGTGTGTGTGTGTGTGTGTGTGTGTGTCAGAAAGCAATGTGTTACCTGGCGAGGTCCTGTGTTAATAAAGTACTGGGCCAGCTCCAGGGCTGCCACAGCATCCTCAATGGGATTATGACCTTTCCTCTCTTCAGTTTGTATTTGCCTCCTGGGATATAAGTGGAAAATTTAATTATTAGCCGTGGTGGGTGAGAGACGCAGAGAGACGCAGAGAGAGAGAGAGAGAGGGAGACAACTTACTTAAGCACTGTCTCGGCCAGGACCTTAAGTTTAAACCGCTGTCCAAACTCTCTCCTGTACAGCAGTGAGGTGTCGATTACATGCTGGTGGATGAGCTGCAGGGAGGACACAAACACAATACAGTCAGAACTTCAACTTTATTTCGAAAAAATGCATCTGTGTTTGAAGAGAGCCTCTCCAAACGGAAATGTCTATCTATCTATATATATATATATATAATATGACTCCTTCCAAATGATAGCTGGCATTAAGTGGGTACAATTACTTGTTTACTACAGTACCCCTTTTCAAATCTTACAATCTTAAAATATTGCCAATAAAACATTTTCCACATTGTTGACACTAAAGTTCCTAAAATATTCTACAAACCTTTTTAAAGTTGATTAAAAAAGGTTTTCAATGAAACCTCCACAGAACAAAAGAAACAATTAAATGATTTTAGACTTAGATTGATTGTCCCAGAGGGAAATTTGATTTCACAGCCAGTGCAACAAAGAAGCCCTCAGACAATCATGAGTGCTGGATGTGTGATGGTGTCTGTGGTTCATGGCGGAAAGATTAGGCGTGGGAGGGAAGGTAATTTTGGAGGCAGTATGACGCTGGTAAGTTTGTTTTTGTTGGAGATACATGGTGTAGAAGCAGGGAAACAGTACAGCAGGACGGGTTGAATTATACTTTTGTAAGGCAACAACAAGTCCTGTTGTTTCCTAGGTTATGTTTTTTTTTAGATGTAAATTACTGAGGTTCATTTGAGTACAGCGCAGCATTTGAGAAAAGTTAAACAGTTTGAACATTTTGGACTGTTATTATAAAAAGAAATACAATGGCAGATACATTTACAGTATGGGCAGACAGCACAAACAGATGCAAAGCTTCACCTGCCCTCAGCTTCATGACACAATCAATCATTATGTTGTTGAAATCAAAATCTCAGTGGTAACTCACTTTCAAAGCCATGAGGTCGTTGTTAAGTGAATGGCCCACCAGAACTGCGTCTCTCGGCAACAACGTCTGGAGCCTCACTTGAATGTCCCTGAGGGTGGTTGTGACTGGTCGCAACATCGCTGCCGTTATACCAGAAAACCTGACAGAAGGCAAGAAAAATGTATTTATTAAAACTATACCAGTATATGTGTGTGTGTGTGTGCGTGCGTGCGTGTGTGTGCGTGCCTGTGTACCTGGTGAGGTAGTCGAGGATTCGGTTCTGAGGTTTCACCAGCTGGTCCAGCACACAGCTCCCTTCACTATCAACCACAGAAACACGAGCCAGCTCGTATCCCTTTTCTGTTAGACACTGAAGCACAACATAAGCACACTGATTAACTGTTGGAGCAGAGATGGAAACCTTGGAATGACTCAGGACGCAACTTTCTAACAACATCGAAAGTGATAACATCGAGGACGCTAATAAATGCTGAGTAAGTGGAGACGGCACTAGAGGGGTTGCACCAAAAGATAAATAAAATATTGAATATAGAAAACAGGGTGTTTGATTCACAGTTTAGACAAGGTTAAGTTTTTAAAAGGTTGGAGGACTATCCAGGGTGACATATAAAGTGGTCCAGAAGGACTTCAATGTAATGTAGTGCATTCTGTCAGGTAATAAATATCTATCAGAAACATAAACATGCTTGAAATTAATCAATTCTCTTAACTGGAAAAATGCTATTTAAAATGTAATAAAGCTGACTTAACAAAAAAAAGGATTTATAGTATTTATATTACTGTATTGTACTTTCTGACCTGACAGAATGTGCTATAACTTTATTAAAAGTCAAAATAACTCATTAAAAAATGTTTAATATCATATGTATAAGTATCTGCCAGTGTATTTATAACATATCGCTTTAGACAGTACTATAAACTGGTGTATCAAGGATACATTGCTAGAGATAATGGTACCAGTCTATCAATATTATATGAACACGTGGATTTATCACAACATACACTTGTTTGAAACTGTGGAATTAAGTATATAACTGAGATCACTCACCATTTCACAGTCAAGTCCATACAGAGGGCTGTTGTCAGTCACACAGTCAACACTATCTGCGCACACAAATTCCTCAAAGCCTGGCATCCCTGTGTCCAAAAGGAACACAAAAACAAGAAGTGAGAAGGTAAAGATGGAGACAGAGACACATCCACACTAACCCATTTAAATCTGAAAGTGCATCTCTTTCTCTCTATTTAAAGGATCAATTCGAAGGATTTGGTGGCATCTAGCGGTGAAGTTGCAACCAACTGAAAACGCCCTTCCAAGCGTGTAGGAGATACTATGATGGCCAAAAACTATGCTTTTAATCAAAGGTTTCCAAAGTAGATAAATCTAAAAACACAGGCCTTGTGTTTTATTGAGGACGAGGAAAACAGAAGCTTTGGAAAACAATCACATACAGAGAGACTCACCTTTGACAGGGTAGTGTCTCTTGATCATCTCCTCCTGGGGGAGAACATACGCTGTAAGTCCTCTCCTCTGTGTCCCAAATCTGGTGATTACTGGGTGACTCTTCAGTGCTGCAGCAGTACACAATAACACACACACACACACACACACAAATAAGAACAAGAGCAAAAACACATCAAACTACTGAATGTAATACTTTGACCAACTGCCACACTATGATAATGTGATGATATTCTGGGGATGAATATGAAGATAATTACACACAAGAAGATTGTTTTGACTAACAGTCAAATCAGGTTTGAAGTTGAATAAGTTCTGAAAATGTTCAAAGCAACATTCAAAAATCAGGAAAGGGCGTAATCATCATTTTTTACTACCAGAATCTGGAGACTAGATAATATCTAGTTTTGTGTTAAACCGATAATAATGTATTCATATATTGCCGAGATCCACACACGCTCAGAACCAATCCCCACTCTCACCTTTGGGCAATTCACTGCTTTCATTGTGTCTTTGTGAAAGGGCCAGAGCGTCCAATTCAGGAACTTCGCTGCTGAAGATTTCTGACGCCAGGTTGGAAGACGATGGAGTAAAGGTGACCCTCTAATGCAGCCAGATAAAAAAAAAAACAACAACCCGTGTTAACCCAAAACTTAAATAACTTCAATATCATAGTATGTTTACATCCCCTCTGGTTACTTACAGTGCTGTAGTTGTTCCTGAGGTGTCGCAGGGTGAGGTAGTGGTTGTAAAAGTGACTCTGGGTCAGGCCCTCCACGATCACCACATTCACGGCTTTAATCCTCTTCTGGCGGAGGAGACGGCACCAACTGTAAGAGACACAGGGGAAAAAAAATTGAGTGTAAGTGGTGTAGTCTGCAGCACAAAAGACTTAAAATAGATCATTTAGATTATTGTTAGAGCACAGGGACACGGTATAAGTACATTACAGAGACTTAGTTGATGAGAACTGATAAGATCTCACTACCAAAGTCATTACCTGGGCTGTTTAATGCCACCTGTTTTCCCCAGAGCGGCATAATGCAGCAGCTCCATCAGCTCATTCGGTGTAATTGGTTGTTGAAGGCGGTCGAGCAGCACGGAGATCCTCGGTGAGCGGGGTACACACTCCAGCGTCTCCACACCTTCCTGCACGGTTTTCAATCTCTTCGCCCTCTCATGTGCTGGGGGGACGATGTTCTTTCTTTTCTCCCTGTTGCATGTTCCTGAAGCTGCTGCTGCTGCTGCTGATGATGATGAAGGCTCCATGTTCAAGCTGAAGTTTCTACTGGGAAATTAAAAGAAGATGTTTGAAATTACATTGTCTCCTACCGGTAAAACTGTGGAGCAGAACTTTCTGCACATCTACGATTTACACGTGTTCCTCATTACATTTGTATTGTTTTATTTATGAAGTTGGAACAGGGGAGCTCTGTGTTCAGCCAATACTTTTTGAATACTGACCAAAATGTGCCACTGAATTTGAATTTCAAAGTTGACTTTGAATGCTTTAAGTGTTCTTTAGTGAGTCTCTGATCAGATATTTCCTCCTTTAAATCATTTTCAACTCTATTTTTGACTATTGTTGTTTTGTGCAAAAACAAACAAAAAAAAATACAAATGAAATCAGTTTTGTAGGTGCTTTAATGATTAAAATATACATCTTCCTAGCCTCATCACATACCTAATACAGGAATTAACAACTATTATTGAATAAAAAGAGACAGAAAAACATGTTTACAGTATAATCCTCAATGTGAGGTACCGGAACAAGTCATGTTTGAGTATAATACTAAACACTTTCAACTATTATTGAAACTATAAACAACTTCCCTCTTCACCAGGTGGGATTTTATATTATATATAAATATATATTATATATTATCACACACATCTAGCGACTGTGTCATAATGCGTTTGTTTTATTTGCGCAACTGTCAGATAAATAAAGTAAAATCTTCTCTCTAAGGGAGTTTCAGGGATCAGTTTGGTGGTTCATTATCAGAATAACAGTAACACAGGAAACACTTTAGCTAACCAACACTTCTACTATGAATTTACACTTATACACTTTTGATTTAGGAGTATTTATAAGTTCGGTACAGGCGTGAGAATATTACCGACAATAAAAATGTGTAAATACCAGATGTTATTGGTCCTTCGGGTGCCAGATTCATGTTTTTTCTGCCACTGGTAGAGGCTAAAAACACATGGTTAAAGCACAGGCAGTGGAGCAGCATGTTTCACTACTTATTGTAAAGTTTAAAAACACGAGCAATACTTCCGGTTTGTAACTTTACAAAATAAAAGAATGTGTTACGTATTGTTATGTATTTCAGTCAGCGAATGTAGCTAAAATTGCGTAGATTTAACAGTGTTTAGTCGCATAAAATCACACATTACAGATCAGACCGGCGTCCAGTCGGCACGTAAACGTTTTTCATTCGTATTATCTTTTCATGCTTTTGTTTTGATGACAAAATGGCAACACCGGAAATGCAGTTCGTTCAGTTTTCCGCGATCGATTGTTTTTTCAGCAGTTGATTTTATTGACTTGCAGCCGTAATTAATCAACCGCAGAGTGACGGATGAACGTTTGTTTTTTTTAAAAAAACAGCGCGATTTTACTGCGATGATTTTATAGTTTCAGAGTTTTATGAAAAGTTATTTCAAGTAATATTCAACGTTATGTCAACAAAGAAACTGGCCAAGTAAGTAACCGATGAACCGTGAGCCTTTAGCTTAGCGTTAGCAAGCAGCTAACCTAAATAACAACAAACTGGGAAGACAAAGAAACATGAGCCACTTTAATAGCATTTAATGTTTTAATAAGTAACGCTGGCGTCGTTATACGTGTGTTTTATGTTGAGTGCTTGAATATTGAATGTATTTGTGTTTATAATGGTCAATAGTACTCCTCTAAAAACACGTCAATACTACTTACTGCTCTTATAACAGAGGCTCTTCAATCCCTTCATGTCTCCACAGAGAATTGGGATTACTGAGGCAGAGGAGTCGGTCCTCTAATGGGTTAAAGAAATCATTGGTATCAAGTAAGTGTCAGTATTTAAGTAGATAATGTGAATACAGAGTTCATGTTTTAGGCTGGAAGAGCATACATCTTTCACCTGTTTAATACAGAGTCTGTTTTCTCTCAGATCAAATATTTTCATACCTGATCGTGATTGATTTTGAGTCCACTTGCTGGAGGGAGAAAAACAACTACACCCAGGAAGTTAGTAAGTAGCTTTTTATATGTTACGTGTGGACATTTTCTTCTTTTTTCACCCTTTTCATTGCTGATAACACCTCCTGTCTTCCTTCTGCAGTTGAGTTTCCTGCTGTTCTGCTCAACACATCCACGGGGGAGGTTGAGTCCGAGTTTCACACTTACGTTCAACCCCAAGAACACCCCGTTCTCTCCGAGTTCTGCACTGAGCTGACAGGGATTACGCAGGTGACTGTCTACAGGCACAAATCCACTGCTGCAAACATATCAGTGCACTGCCTGCTGCTGTGTACTGGTATGTGGGTTTACATTATAATTATCTGACTGCTTTGTTTCACTGTTTCACAGATGCGAGTTGAGGCAGGGATTCCCCTCCAGATCTGTCTTTCACGGTTCAACCGCTGGCTACAAAACCTGCAGCTCAATATGGGTGTGGTCTTTCCCAGTGGACAACAGATATCTTCTGCACCTTCACCTACTCAGAAATTGTGTACCTTCCTCACGTGGTCAGGTAAAAGTCAACTCGATAAGTCAAATCTTATGATTGCCTTCAGTTATCATTACGATTGGTCTCTGCCTTAAGTTAGTAAGGATATTTCCTGCATTGAAACACACTAAACATCAACCAGAAATATATTTTTATCTTCAAACATTACAAATGTTTCTGGCTCTTTTATATTATGTGCAATGAAAATACACAATAACATGGTTTATTTTCACCTTGTTGGATTTTTAATTATTTATTTTTTACTATTTAGAGGAGTAATGTAGCTTAAACGCATTGTCAATTTAAATGTGCCTCCATCTGCGTTGCGTATCAGACTGGGATCTCGGAGTTTGTTTGCAATACGAGTGTAAACGCAAGCAGCTCCACAAACCTGATGTGCTCAACAGCTGGATAGACCTGAGAAGCACCTACAGGGTAAGTGAAAGCTTTGTCTTTACACCTCCGTTCTCTTTTATAGCTCATGGCTGTGCCTAGTAATTGTTTAGTGCACCAGATGTTTGATTGTTTAGACTGTAAAAGGAAACACATGAGTCAGTTATGATAAATTCCCATGGTAATTTAACCAGAGCTCAAAGTTAGGTATTCAATTTGCTTTTTGTCTGACTAGCAGTCCAAAAACCCAAACATACTCTGTTATAATGATTATTTGATTAACAATATAATCATTGATAAACCTTTCTGTCAATTAACTAATAACATGAACTATTTTTAGCTGTTTTATGACAGGAAACCCAAAGGCCTGAACGGAGCATTACAAGATCTAGGAATACAGTTTTCAGGGAGAGAACATTCTGGTATGAAAAAAAAACCTACATTTATTTGGCCAAAATAAATCTTAATCTAAAAGTAAAGACTTCTAATGCTGTGTGTCTTGTTTACTCTCTTTCCTTAGGTTTGGATGACGCACGAAATACAGCTCAGCTGGCAGCGAGGATGATGAGGGATGGTTGTGTGATGAAGATCACGAGGAGTCTGGTGAGGGTGAGTGGCCATCGTCCAACGATGCATCCCAGCTCCTAAATCCCCGGCCCCCCCTCTGTCTCCACAAGCAAAACCTTTTCTGGATGCTGACACTGTGGAAGTCTTCATGAATGAATTTTTAAAGTTGTTGTTGTTGCTTTCTTATATAAATAAACAGATATATAACTGGACTGTTGTAATATCATAAACACTGATAATCATACATCAATCATCATACTTTACTCCAGTTTTACTTTAATGCTTGGACACTGAGGAGAAACAGGGAGGGAAACAAGCAGCTCAGTGATTATAGAACCTAGCACTAATAACTGCGGATACAATTGATTTCACAATACAGTTTAATAATATCAGGAATGTGTGATATTTTACGAGTCATTGATTATATCTCTCATCTTATCTTCTTCTAGACCCCATTAATGATCAAACCCATGTTTGGAAACACAACTGCAGACAACAAGAAGGAAAAATCCAACACCGATAAAGAAGAAAACACACTTACCACAAACAAACCCTCATTATTCAAAATGCCTCTCAAAGCATGTCAGATAAAATCATGTTCAGAGTTAAATAAAGGAGAATTAGGCACAAAGGAGAACTCAAGTTCAGCTCAGGAATCTGCTCAAAACTGCCAAAGCATCATCTCACCAAAGACACTGCTGAATGGTAAAACGCCACAATGGGGACGCAGCAGGAGGGCCGTTACAGCAGAGGCTGTCACTAATATTTCCTCTTTGGTAATGAGAAATTATCAGGCACCAAACAAAGAGAGCAACAACAGCAGCCTTGTTCTGTGTTCTACTACTGTGGGCTGCCTTTCAAATCTGCCACAGCCAAACCAGGCCTCAAGAACAGGAGCAGCAGTAGGACTCGAGGAGGAGGAGGAGGAGGAAGGTGCCGACCTATTAGTGGAAACAGAGGACAGGTGCGGCTCATATGATGATGTGGTGCTGGAGGGAGACGATGATATCTGTGATTATGACAGCGGATGTCATGTGTGGGAAGAGCCTGATGACACACATTCAACAGAAGGTCAGGTCACTTTAAGGGACAATTTACGAGAAACAGTCAGCGTTGAAAATAACTTTAAAACTCAAAAGATGACCAGTGAGTCAATAACGACGTCTCTATGTACAAAGAGTATGAGATCCTACGTGAATGTGTCTCATCACTTAAATGAAATCAGGCAGCATTCAACAATCTCAGAGCCAAGTACTTACTTTGCGGTGCCTAAAACTGTTTCTCGGGACTCAAATCCGCACAAAACAGGACTTAGACACTCTTTTCAAGTACAAGAAAAGTCTGATGGGCCCCATAAAAACTCTAAAACAAACACACCCTTTCCATTCAGGCACAAACCATTCATCCCAGAAAAGACCTCCACCCCTATTGCCTCATTTTTCAGGCCCAAAACAGTCATAGCACAACACACAAACCACAAAGAGACTCCAAAATCTTCCTTTACCATCTACACTGACCCAGCAAAACCCTCCCGTCCCTCCTTGTGTGGCTCCTTCTGCACCTCAAAGAATGTCCTCTCCTCTTTGTCCACCAACACGCTCTCCTCGCGTACCAATGGTTCCTCCGTTTCTGTGGCAATGAAAGGAGGACAGAGGATCACATCCCCACTGTGTGCGTGTGGGCGTCGTGCGAAGCGGCAGGTCGTGTCCAACGGTGGTCCGAACCACGGCCGAGGGTTTTATTGCTGTCCGGTCCGCCGGTCGGGCAGCGGAGGGACGATACAGAAGGGATGCGAGTTCTTCAAGTGGGAGTCAGCTCTGATGAAGAGCAGTTCAGTGGCCTCTCCTGCTGCCGGCTCCTCCGTCTCACTCTGTCAGATCAACTCGACTCTAAGCTGTCGTCCGCCCCAGAGGGCAATGATAAGAAAGAGCTATTAACTCGTTGGAGAAAGAAAGCTGATGGTGTGTGTTTATGTTTGTATTGTGTTTAACTTGTTTATCCTGTTTTACATTTTACAATCATAGGGGAGAGCTCCAATTTTACTGGCATAGTGAATGCTCAAGTTAATTTATTCATTCTAGTTTGGACAATTAATTGGCTTTTATCGAGTTAAAATGTCCCCAAAAATCGAATTCACTGCTTTTCTATATTTCACATCCCTATACATTGAATATGTTTGGCTGTTTTAGATGTTTTAGGACATAAAAGTCTAATGAGCATGAACATGAATATTGACAATTAACTCATTAAATCATTTATTTGAAAAAATAAAATCAACCAATAATGTACACTAATAATAAATGTAATTTTCTATGTATTGTACAGTAAATATATTTGGAATATATTTAAGTTATTTCATGTGTTAATCTTAATTTTGCCCTTGGTTTTGGCTTGATTGTTGTTTTTATCATTAGTGGAAGAAGTATTCTACGTAAAAGTAGAAACTACAGTGTAAAAATACATAAATAGTTATAGTAGTATTTTTAGTACAATTATTTGCATTAAAATATACTTAAAGTATCAAAAGTAAAAGTATTTATTGTGCAGAATGTCCATTTTCAGAATCATATTACTGGATTATAATTATTGATATATGAATGTGTTTCACACTTAATTGTAATTGCTTCATATGCAGGTAACTTAACCTATAATAATAATAATATTATATAACTAGAAAATGCATTTCCTGTTGCAGTGGGGATGCTGACAGAAAAGAAAGCATAAACTTTGAACAGCAATAATTCAAAAAATATAAAAGTATTCAAAAAAGTTGAATACAAGTTGAATAGTCTGAGGTCTCGTGAATATATAAAATTTAAATTAAGTTTGTAGCTCAAAATATGTGGAAGGAGAAGCATTTCAAAGTAGAGCAAGTTTGACGAGGATTTGAAGCTTTCTCCATTCATTTCAATGGCATTTTTTTTTTTTTTAAATAAAGCTTAATATTTCAAAAAATATAAAAGATAGAAAAAAGCTGAACACAAGCACCCATGTCCTCAAAGAGCTGAACATTTTGATAATTGAATGGTGTCTGTAGCATGAAGTATGTGGGAGTAATTAGGCGCTGAAAAACATACAGAAGAATAATAATAAAAAGTAAAATATAAGTATAAAGCATCCACAGTAATAAACCACATTAATAATCTAAATATATAACACATAGTACTTAATAAGTATGCAGCTTGTATACACTCACTAGACACACTGCTTCGCGGGAACGTCGGACACTTTTTTTTTTGTTTGTCCCTCCTCACTCGCCGTACAGGACGACCGAAAAACGTGCTATGTTTTGACCGAATGAGCCTCCGTCCGTTGCAGCAGCTGCAGTTTGAACCTGGACTCGTGTTCAGGCGGTCGTTGTGTGTTTCCTGTGAAACTTCTCATGGCTTTTTACATTGCAGTCGCTGCAGCTTTAAAACCCTCGGACCGTTTGTGTTAGCATCAGCTGCTAAGCTAACGGCGAATAAAGCCGAAGAGGAGGAAGAGGAGGAGGAGGAGGAGGAGTGAAGCTGCTGTTTAGGTGTTGTACGAATACATTATCCGCTGAACATGTCGGCAAACGACTCGAGGAAACGCGGCAAGAAGCGGTACGCGGGCGGCCACAACAAGCGGTGGAAGGGCTCCCGGGAGCTGGAGGTGGGCATGCAGGGGATCCTCATCACATGCAACATGAACGAGAGGAAGTGCACAGCGGAGGCCTTCAATCTGCTCAATGAGTACGCCGACCAGCTCTACGGGCCCGAGAAGGTGAGGAGAAGCACTTTAATTGATGAGTTTATATATATATATATATATATATATATATATATAGAGAGAGAGAGAGAGAGAAGGCCCCTGCTACCTTTTATATTAGTGCTGGTTATAAGTTACTGTGCAGAGCTGTGGAGACTTCACTCCTTATTTTGTTGTGTTGAATTATTTTGTTGTATTGCATGGATATGGAAGCCTATAGGGGACTTTATTAAAGTAGTATTGTAGTTTTGCTCATGTTGTTTGAGTAAACATGAGGATTCAATGATACAATTTGCATTTTCATTTGCTTGCCAGGGCAAAAACATTTCATTATGCTCTTGTCCATGATAATGGATTTGAATTAAACCTCAAGTTAGTGTCTTTGTCAGTACTTGTCTTTTAGTTTTTAGCCAGTAATTACGACTCTACTCAAATATGACAACCTGGTGTAGTAGAATATATTGTTTATGTGTGACAGTTATTGACTATAGTTTGGATAATCGATTAAATAGTAAAAGACAATTGTCAAAGTCTTGCTGGTTTCACCTTATCAGATGTGAGGAATTACTTGTTTTATGTCAAATATCTTTAGATTTTGAACTAATGATTTGACTAAAAAGTTATCTGAATGACGTCTCCATACAATTTAAACTGGAAAATGTTTCAGTACATAATATGGTGTTAACAAAGTGCTTCTCTCATGATCACAGTTTCAAGACAATAATGGGAGCAGCAGTGAAGAAGAGGATGCTGAAGAAGAAGATGTTGATGTAGCTCTGAAGAAGGAAGTGGCACAGCTGCAAGCATCTGGAGCTAAACAGGAGAGACGCTTCCAGGCTTTGGATAGTGGCGCAAACAATGTCATCTTCATCAAAACTCACAATCTGGGTAAGTCCTTTTGATGAAACGCAGCATTGATGAGATTTAGTTTTGGCCTTTTAGTTTTACTGTAGCTACAATTTTTGTTTGTTTTCCTCTCCTAGAATCTGACAAGCTGGTTCATCACATCTTGTCTGATCTCCACACCACCAAGAAGAAAAAGTCACGCGTGATCCTTCGGATGCTGCCGGTGAGAATCTAAAGTCACATCAATCAACTCAAAGTTTAAAAAGTTTAAAAGGCTTCTGTTTTTTTTAATGTATCTAAAACACAACTTTTAGGCATAGTTTTCACACTGCCTCAGGCACTATTGTGTCTCTTTGTTTATTGGAATGAGATGCAGTTGTTTAATTCCTTTAGTAAATTATAAATTAATGTATTTACAGCAGAAAGCGAGGCAGTGTGCAGGAGTTCCTCATTGTTAATCCCTTTTTATAACAATCAAAATTAGTTTAATATATCAAGACTAAAATAATTTGTCCGCAGTGTCTCATCCTTGTTTTTTCGTCTTATCCAGGTAACTGGAACATGCAAGGCCTTCCAGGATGACATGGTGAAGTACCTGACCACTTTCCTGGAGCCCTGGTTCAAAACTCCAAACTGTGCTACCTACCAGATCGCCTTCAAGGCCCGCAACAGCAGCCACAACAAGAGGGATGAAATCATCAAATCAGTCGCAGGTAGTTCTGGACTTTAGATTCATTTGTTGCTAATATGGATTTCACCTTTTTTTAAAGTGAAACACAACTGACTCATCCTTTTTTGACCATTGCAGGTCTAGTGGGGAAGCTTAACCCTAAGAACAAGGTTGATTTGACCAACCCAGAACTGACAATCATTGTGGAGGTCATCAAGGCCGTGTGTTGCCTCAGTGTGGTAAAAGACTATACACTGTACAGGAAGTACAATGTCCAGGAAGTAGTAAAAGAGGACACACCGAAGCCTGATGTGACCACAGCAAAGACAGATTCAAATACAGCTGAGGAGAAGGAGAAACACGATGCGGAGGAGACAAACAAAGAAGAGGAAGACGGCGACAAAACTGCGCCCCAGGACGACAAAGAGGTCGATAAGGCTGAAGGTGACGCGGAGTAAGAGCTCACGTTTAGAGAAACTGATTGACAGTTGGTGAGTTAGGTTTAAAATGACAAAAAACATCTGAAGTTGCTTTTATATTGTAGTGCTTTTGTTTTAAATAGGAAGGTTTTTAAGCCATGATTTTTTTCACAACCGATAACATGACTGGACAAAAAAAATGAGGTTGGCAAGAGACAAACGGAATCCAAATATAATTTAATGTCTTTTTTTAAAATTCATCTTTGATGCTTTTGTTCTGACTTTAAGATGTCCATGTTTAAATAGCAGTGATTTTTATTGAACTGTACGTGTCACCATTCTGCAGCGTACCTTTAATATCAGCTGCCATCAGTTTTTTATGCTGAATTGGATTTTTAATTTTAATGTCATTTTATTTTTTGGCATTTTTTTTTTTTTACTCCAAACAAAAAAAAGAGTTTTGTTCAGGTTTACTGGTGTGTTAAATTTTTTTCGTAACTGTTATTTCCTAAAGCAGTCCCTGGATTAAAGCTACCTGTGTGTTTGACTGCTTTTGCCTCATATCCTTCACTTATTTTATGGTGCGTTATCCTTCAGTGATTGAAACAACCCTTTATTGGTCCCAAAGAGGAAACAGTTGTGTGTTACTGCAGCAGAAGGACAGAAGATGTACAGATAAGTTGAGAAATTTAAATAGAATAAGTAATTAAATATGCATAAAATAAGAAAATAATACATAAAATAGGAACTAAAGAGCAATTAGCCACAAAGGTGAAATTACAGGAAATGGCAGTACAGATATGCTACTCACAACTAGTGTTGTACTTGAACTAATAGTGTAATACCGTCTCAGCAAAGTGAAACTGAAAACATACTGTCAACTATATCAGGGTATACTGTATCATATAATGTGATTCTGTCATCATACTTGGACTTGTCTGTATTAATATTGAGATATAATACATAATTATAGAAGAGGAGAAAGAAGAGTTAAAACTACATAAACAACATATAGGTACAAAGTTTGCTACTCGGTGACCTCTCATCATCTCACATCATGTGGTGAAATGCCCTGTTTGACATTGTGTTATGCCCTGAACAGGCAGTTCTTCTCTGCACCACAAGATGGAGTTAATCCCTCATTTTGTAGAGACGTGGACATCTGTGTGGCAGGTGTACCACAGTTATTCCTTATGGATGCATAATTTATCACATTTTTGATGCAATCTCCTCATTTTCTACATAACCTTCTGGTATAAATAGCTTTAAATCATTTTCTAAATGACCTGGAGCTGGTTGTAAGTGTGAACAGAATAGACTTTATATCATTTCATTGATGGTGTATTGTATTTGACAACAGAAAAGTGATTAACTGAAGCAGTAAACAATACAAACCAAACAAAATGTTCTGGGGTAAAGGGGGTTAAATCTTTTGCCTCAATAAAATTAGTCATGTTTTATTGTTAACCAGATGTTCGTGAACATTCAGGACAGTCTTTATCTTTCAGAAAGAAATCAAAACAATTAAATCAGTCCAGTAGCAAGACTGCACAGCTGTACTGTGCTAATATGCACATGTCTACAAGTATAAGGTTTACCAAGTTCAGCATTTTAGTTTAGCCTGTGAGTGAGCTAAGTATTAAAAAAAATAAAGTAAAGACAAAAGTTGAATTGTGACCAGATGCCGGTTAGGGGATCGCCAAAGTTATTACAGTTCATCCTGAAGGGGACATTTTCTGTCTGTCTGTCTGTGATTTCATAGCAATTCATCCAGTAGTTGAGACATTTAACCCCAAAATACAAATGTTAACCTCATGGTGGCACAAGAGGAAAACTCAGGGGCTCACCAAAGTTAGTATGATTTATCCTCTGGGGAACACAAATATCTATGTTTATTCTAGTTTTTTATTCTTTTCAGTGTTTGAACAGGTCTTAAGAGTATGTTCTCACATTTCTGTAGAATTATCCCGGGTCTCTCCTCTGCGACCACTGAGCCTTTCTGCAAAGGTCACGAACAGTTTAGTGATTAGTCTTTAGAAGATATTACCAGGAGAACTTGGCTTTGTTTATAGACTTTGTGTAGACACATCAAAACTGAATTTCTAAAAATAAGAGAAAATGTTCTTTAAATCAACAGTGGTACATTAAAACCACAGTGCTGTCATTTGAGTAAAGGCATTAATCACGACTTCCACAGTTTTCTGTCTCTGTCACGTACACAAAACGCACACATGCATTAACAGGACTGTGAATTTCTCTCTGCTCATTACTCTTGAACTGTTGCTGTGACCCACCCGTCGTTATCTCCACTATATTCGGCTAAAACTCACAAATTGCATTGCCTCTGACTCTCAGGTGCCCCAATCAGTGTGACCTGCTGACAAGCCTATAGCTCCAGCACAAGGGGAAAGGACTGGATGTTTTCAGCCTGCCAGTGTGTTATTAGTACAATACCAATTAGACTGTGTGACTGACTAGCCTACATAATGGCTAATGTACAGTGTTGGCTCATAATGATATCACAGTGGTGACATATCTGCTGGCAGGTGAAATCCTTATGTCTTAAACATAATAAAAACATAATTTTCTACAGATGCAAAGCCAATTTTTGTGAGTGCTTAATGGTTTTTTGCAAAATGCATAACAAATGACAGTTATGAGATGTTTTATTTATTTCATAAAAAGTATATTGTAGAATCTGACAGTTTTTACATGTTTAACCAGGAACAGCATAATCAAGAGAATATTTACAATACCAACTGCTCGGTGATGTCTACATGAAAAATGTGCCTCTGATGTTTTAATTGCCCCCAAGGCCATGTCTAATTAAACCTCAGTGGGAACTAAAGCCCAGCGCTTTCCAGCCAAATAGGCATACAAACACGTACGCACTGTTCTGCCACCCAGGATTGTACACTTATTCAGGTTTAAATGTCACAGGCCTGTGAAACAATTGCATCCACAGGCGCATGTGCACACGGTCCCCGGGGTCAGGATTAGCATCCATTGGTGTTGCTCCATATCTGACCTTTATGAGTGGCTAAGTAGTGCTCTCCAGGGTCTCATTTGTCTCACTTTACCCGAACAATGGCCTCAACCCCCTCACAACTGTAGCCGTTTCCCTCACAGTGCAAAATGAACATGTCCAGGCTCAAATTGTTGAGCGTCAGAGCTTTTCAAGGACTCCAGGTCGACTTTCACCAACTAAAATGTGGTTGAAATAACCAGTAAAGCACTAGAAAATGTTGTTACAAAACTTAAACACTGCATTATAACCTATTTATTACATATTTATGACTAAACTAGCAACAATGAGAGATAGTTTGAAAAAATGTATTATTTATTTAGAGTTTATCATTCCAAGAGTCAGCTAATTGTTTTCATTAGAACTGTGTTATGGTGGCTTTATTAAATTTAATTGGCTGTGGCAACTTAAGCAAACAACCCAACAACTATATTTTGATTCAAATATTGCTAAATTATGATTGGTCTAACAGAGCCCCGCCCACTGCAAACCAGTAAGAAAACCACAGACAAAAACCCAAATACAGAAAAATAAAAATATTAAATAAATTATATATAAAAAATATATTTTTACGTAGTGGTCGTCGTAGCAGAACTAAATTATTCTTCTTTCCTGTCCCATTAATCATTTTGCAGATGTATCTTGCGACACCTTAAAGGGGTCCCAACCCAAATGTTGGAAACCACTGTACCATGATAAGATTAATATTAATAAGCAGAAAATGGATTTATATGTCCACTTTTAATGTGTCATTAAAACTGCACTTTATGTTTTAAATAGCTTTCCTTATACAAAATGACATTTTAACATTGGAAATGTCACATTGGGAAAAGCACAGGTGTAAATAATGAAGATGGCTGAATTCCAGTTAGCAGCTTCAGTTTTAGGGTTCTGATATTGTGCATGCTGACAGTCACACTGTAATGACTTCTGTCTGGGACACAAGAATTGAATAAACAAGGACAAATCATGTCTCCCTTTAAAAAGACTGAAATCACCTTGAATGACCATGAATCCCTGAACAAATCAGAGATGTGAGCGGTTCGAGGTCTGGGACCAGGCGGTGAGGAATACAGAATTTAATTTGGAAAAGAAAAAGGGGAACATTATCACCCTGTATCAGTGCTGACACTGGTAATACTATGAGTTTACAATTAGTTACTGCATGTGAGAGAAAAGTGGTACTGGTTCTTCCCTTGTCCAAATATTCCAGTACGCTTTGCCATATGCAAGATTGTCAGACCTCTTAAACATGTGGTTCTAGAGAAATATTAATGGGGTGGCAGGAGGGCAGCATGGAGAATTCAAGGGGTGGCAGCAATATATGCTCATTTATTCAGAAATGCTTGGAAAAACAAAAAGATATTTTGACTGAAAAAACATTACATTATGGTGGCACATTAGTAAAGCTCTGAAGAGGAATATCTAGAGGTGACAGAAATAAATAAATTATTGCATTTCCCCAAAAAAAGTCTTTAATTTAAGTTCAAAGTATTTTTTCATTTAGTCTAAAATGTGGCCGTAACAGATTGATAGATTAAATTTATTTATTTCCAATCTTTAAAATTAATCTAAATTTTGTCAGCATCTGACACCAAACTGGGGTTGCACCTGGGGTGGCAAGGTATTTAATGCCACCTCTCCTCTTAAGGATTTTCATTTGTGATTTACACTTCATGACTTTCTGGTGCGTCAGTCATAAACACTGCACATTGTATACAATATGGCGAAAGTAAACTCTCAAAAATCATGAAGATGTACCCCAAACACATGCTGCATTCGCTTGTGGCAACTCGCAAAGTTGTCGGAGTAGTCCAGCACTGACTGATGGACACTGAATGGAGTATTTGTTTGATAACAAATTATGGCCTTAAAAATGACCACTGAGTTAAGCCTAAACGTCTGACAGCTACGACAACAAAAAGCGATTATGAGCTTTGTCGAACTGGTATTTACTGCAAACCTATTGTATAGTGAGGCTTTTCTGTTATTTTGTCCATCCCTAGGTGTCGGTTTGTAGCTTTCCAGATGCTTTCTCTTTTGTCACACACATGCATAGTCAATAGATGCACACACCAATGATTTCTTTATTTATTTATATCTATTGTTACAGCGATGTGAATATGGTTTGGAGGACATCTATTTCTCTGAGAGATTCTGTGTGTGTTTGTGTGTGTGTGTGTTATACGTGTGTGTGGCAGCCAGCTATGTGAATGGGGTTCAGTAATGAGAAATGCTTATCAACCCTCTACAGCCTGTCAGCTTGGTGCTATTAGCCGTTTCCCCAACAATCCTACAGGTAGGCCAAGAGTGGTCGTATTGATTCCAAACATTCCTATTTGTCCCCGCAGAAACGGGAGCAATCAGCAGACGGATTTAGTTGATTAGGATTACGGGAAGTAATTTGTGGAGGAAATAAGTGGGCATTTTTAAGGGGTCTATTAATGTTGCGAAATTAGTTTTCTTAATACCTGGGATGAAGTTGCTGTTTGAATGTAAATCACTGTTTATGTGATTTGGAACGT